TGGGGGTGGAGAGGGAGGGATGGGGAGGGTGCTGCGACTGTGTCCCCTCGTGGCACCGAACCCTGGCGTTGGGGGGGTGTCTCCGTATGGGGTGCAGTCCCAGTGGGATATCCTGGGTGGGGGTGAGGAGGTGAGCATCCCTGTGAAGGGTCCACGCAGCCCCCGCATTCCACGCGGAACCCAATCCCCCGGAGGGGCTGTGGGGGTGCAGCCCTGTCCCCACGGGGAACCTGGAGGGACCAGGCTTCTGTGCCAGCCTGTGAGGCGGGGACATGCCAGCCAGCCCCGGGGGGGACGGAGCCCCTGGGGTTTGGTTCCACGGTGGGGCCAAGCTTCCATTTCCCGTGGGAGTTGGACGGGGCGGGGTTGTCTGGGACACCCCAGCCCGGCCACCCCCGCAGTCACGGGGCCCCCGGCGGCTCCGGCTCGTTCCCACAGCTCCATCCAGGCGGGTTTTCTCTCCTCGCTGGCAGCCGGCCCGGCCCTGCTCCTCCCGCCCTTTGTGTCCCGGGCTTTTGGCAGCAGGGGGGGTTAGGGGTGGTTTGGTTTTTTTTTGGTTTGTGTGGGTTTTTTTGTTTCCACCACTCCCATTCCCAGATTCGGTTGAGTCATCTCCCAGATTCACACCCACCAAGTCTCCCCAGGAGCCCCAGGAATGATGCTGTCTTCCTGACCACTGCTGCCTTGAGTGTGTGGGGCCTCTGCAGGCAGATGGGAGCCCATGGCACGGGGGCATCCCCAGGGTGGCATGGGGGCATCTGGGGACCTTCAGGGGGGATTTGCTTTTTCTGTTGCAGACACACTGGCAGGGAGCAGGGAAGCAGCCCCTGCCCCACTCCCACTGCCTCCCGGGCTCTTGGGGCTGCAGGAAAACCTTTTGCCAGAGTTATTGTCATCGGGTTCCTTAAAATAGAAAGTGTGTGTAATTCCAGCCCCCTGGGAGCTGTCAGGCCTCAGCAGGCACTGCTCAATGTCACCTGGACAGCTTCTGGGGCCTCTCTCTGCCACCGCCCTCGCACGGTGGGGTCAGAAGGATGGACAGGGAAAGCTCCTGTCCCCTCTGGCCGTGCACAAACGCTGCAGGGGGCTGAGCTGCCCTGCTCGGGGAGCCCAGCACCCTCCTGGCTCCCGAGGGACCTGTCCTGATGGGCCATGGCTGGAGCTAACAATAGCGTGTCAGGAAACACCGTGTTCGGATGGTGCTTCCTTTGCAGCCACTCAGCACCCCCTGCTCCCCAGCTGGATTGTTTTGCTCCTGACATGAAATGTCCAGGAGGCTCCACACGGCATTTCTGGAGTGCTCTGGGTCTGCCTTTAAGCTTCCCCATCCATCCCAGCAGGATTGTTCCCAGCCCTTAGAGCACGTGGCTTAGCTGAGCTCACTGAAATCACTGCCCAGTGGTTTTGCTTTCAAATTCCTGTTTTCTTTGGTTTATACTGGGACCATGGAAGAGAGCATGCAGCTGGGCATGGCCCTTTGCAGCCCAGCTGCTCCTTTCGTTTTCCAGCTGAGTGAGGAGGGATGTTGCAGTGGAGGAAAACAGGAAAACAACTGGCCATTCCCCTTGCACCCTTTCCCTGAAGCCTGGTAGTGGGGTCATGGGCAGAGAGGGGACTGTGGGCTGAAATTAGGCAAAGGTCCCCCATGTCTTCCTGCTGCTGGGATCAAGGGCAGAGCTCAGTATTTGTCCCTTGTGTCCATAGGCCCAACAAGCCAAATTCCTCAGTGATGTGGAGAATGAGCTGGAAGAGCTGTCAGTCACCATTGCTCAGGCCAAGAAGATGGTGGAGCTCATTAAGGTGAACTCTACAATGGCTTCATTCTGTTCGTGCAGCACTGCTGGGCTGGGGGGTGGAGGCAAAGGGGCTGTGAGTTTTTGAGGTGTGTGGGGTGTAGAGGTGGTGCTCACAGGGGAGCAAGCACTCTGTAAAACAGGGATGACCCTGCCAAGGATCCCTGGGGATCCTTGTTTCTCATCTCTGCTAACCCTCGTGGCATCTATGGTTGCTTTTGTTTGCAACCTGGAGGGAGGGAAGAATGAGGCAAAGACAGTGCTGGGGCACCCACTGGCTCTTGCACCTTCTCTCCTCAGGCTCATGGGGGTTTTTGTCCCCTTTGGCCCTTGTGCAAACAGATCATGTCACCACCTGGGGACACAAGATGTAGTAGAGCAGTGAGCAGCCATGCCCATCCAGGTCCCTCTACACCTGGGCTGTAAAGTGCTCCAAGCTCTTGGCTGAAGGGGGTTATGGGGGGATTATGCAGAGGTGAGAACTGGGTGCTGGGCTGGGGCCACGGGTGCTCTCCCACAGCCCCGACCCCTCTCTCCTGTGCTCAGGGCGCTGCCACGAAGGAGAGGGAAAGAATCAAGAAGCTCTTTGCAGAAGCCTCCGAGGTGCTGACGACCTTCCAGAAGGAGGTGACAGGTTTCATTGAGGACAGGGAGCGCTCCATGCTGGGGGAGGCCGAGGCTGATCTCCGCTGGAAGGAGGAGAGACGAGCCAAGCTGGCCCAGTGCAAGCAAAACCTGGAGAACGTCCCCAGCACCGACACCATCTGCTTCCTCCAGGTGCCTGGGTGGGATGGGGAGAGGAGAGGGCACTGATCATGTTGATTTTGGGGGTTCGTTCTGTTTCCTGTGGAGCTGGGTGGGTGCCAGGAGCCATGTTTCGGCAGAGTTTTATTCCACTTGGCACAGTCCCCTCCCTTCCCTGCTCCTGGGCAGCCAAAACTTTCTCCTCTATCACCCCCACCTCCGTCCTGGCTGTGACTCTGGAGAAGCTGTTGTGTTGCTCAGGCTGGGCACCTTGGTGCAGGGGGCAGAGAGCAGGATGTTGGGGTGTCCCACTGCCCCCCATCCAGCATCACCCGCTTGCCAGCAGCCCTGCAAAAGCAGAGCTTTTTGGGAGGAGATGCTGCTCCATGGGAGGGGGGCATGGTCTGGGACCAGGTTTGAAAGGGAGCAAAGAGAAGGTGCCAGGGACACGTGGCCAGGAGAGCTCACTCCTCCCTTCTGCAAGGCTGTCCTTGAGCCAAGTCCTGCGAGCTGCCAGTTCCCAAATCCTCTGGGGCAGGGAGGGGTTGCAGAACAAGAGACAACTTCAGCTTGTTTGAAACCTCCTGAAATTCTGTCTTTTTGGCTCAGGAATTTCAGGCCTTAAAAGTAGCCATGGAAGGAAACCTCTCCCCGACTCTGAGCTTCCAGAATGAGCTGAACTTCACCAAATGTGCCCAAGCCGTGGGTGCCATGAAAGATGTGCTGTCTGCTGCCTGCAAAAAGCAGTGGGACCACTTGCAGGGGAAAGGAATTGATGGGCTGAGTTACCAGGAGATGGAGAAAGGTTTGTGTTTCCCCAGCCCCCGTGCCCGGAGGTCACCCCATCACCTTCCATCCACCCCACGTAGGTGGGAGATGCCTGCAGGTTTGGTGGCTCCTGCAAGTGCTGGGCCCTCTCCCACCAGCCCTGGGAGCTGCCTGGCACGGTTGTGCTGCACGTTGCACAATCCCTGCCTGGGCTTACGCCTTCTCCTTGAGGTTTTATGAATTTTTCCACAGAGACCGGAGGCTGGAGAGGCAACAAACAGCCCGGGAGTTAGGCAAGGCCCTGTGGGAGGGGGCAAGGGGCCAAAGTGGCCTCCTGTGAAAGGAGACTCTCTTCCCAGGATAGATGATCCTCTTCACAGGGCAGGCCCTGCTCTCCCAAACCTGCTGGGCTTAGAAAGCCAGGCAGCATCTTTTCCCCCATTCCCTCCTCGTTTCTGTCTCCTCTCTCATTTTCTTGGATGCCTGTGGGAATTGCAGCCAGTTCCTTGCCCATCTCCCTGGGCTGGCAAAGGTGACATCTGTCCTTTCCTGTCCCCCAGGGATGTGCAGGGGGAGCTGGGGGTGCTGGCAGGGGCTCGGGGGGCAGCTGGGTGCCAGCAGCCTGCAGGGTGGGGGTGGCTGCAGTGACACCCTGCTCTGTGACCTTCCTTTGCTGATGACAAAACCCTTCTGTCCGCGTCTCCGCAGCCGAGTCCCAGTTTCCAGACAAGTCAAACAATCCCGCCTGCCTGGAGAGCCGTGATTACTTCCTGAAATGTAAGCGGGGGCCTTTTGCTTTGACAGTTGTTGCTAAGGTCCCTCTTCCCTTTCCTTTCCCCCAGCTCCTTCCCGTGGGCACTGGTCCCCAGCCCAGGGCTGGCAGGAGCTGCCGCCACCGCAGGAAACGTTGCTCAGCTCACAGGGAAGCCTCCTGGCTTTCCTGACAGCAAGTCAGAAGCTGTTTAAGTGGTGGTGGTTTTTTTGCCCTTATCTGTGGTTCTGCCAGAGCAGCTGCTGGGGGGGGATGGGGGGGCTGCAGGCATTCCCTGTAATTTCTGCTGCTTTCCAGCCCCTGATGAATTGGATGCTCCCGTAAATTAGATCAGAGTTTGTGCATCTGCCTCGTTTGCCTGACAAGGATCAGGTTCAGTGGCAGCAAAGTACAGGGGTGATTGGAAAAATTCAGGGGCTGGAGATGCTGAGCCTGGAGGGTGCGGGGCTGGGTTTGGGCTCCAACACCCCTCATGTTCCCCCCCCAGGGTGTGGGGTCACCTACTGAGGTGTCCACAGGGGACAAGATCTACCAGGTGGATTCTTTGATGTGTGGTTGAGCTCACTGAGCAGCCCCTCTGCCTGGTTACCTGTGTTCCCTACTTGTATGGAATGTCCCCACTTTCAGCCCCTCAACCTCATCAGCTGAAACTGGCCATGGGTTTTTAAAAGCACAGGGCTGGAGTGATGGTGGAAACCAGACAGGATTGTGCTCATCACTAAAGGCTGGAGCAGGGGATCAGAGCAGGGAGGGCTGGGGGGTTTCC